TTAAAAAATCGACTGTATAAATTAAAATGGCCCACCCTGTATAATAAATAATAGATATCTAATATATTGCGAAACGATAAAATTACATTAATATAGTATATTAACAAATTAAATTCTTAATAAATTCGAAGGAATAAGAACTAGAGACACTCTAAAACAACTCATTTCTTTCAAGAATTATATGTTAATGCATAAATAAACAGATGCATTACTGCACTTACCTAAAACCATCAATGTTTAGAGATATCATGAAAAATATACCGAGGAAAATAGCGCTTCCCTTTATTTTCTTTCTCAAAGGTTTAAAACTGAAATTTCCATGTTTGTTATTATTTGTTACATCATTTTCCATTTCCGATAGTCTCTGTTTTAAGGCTGTATTTTCCTATAAAAAAAAGTATATATATTATTGAGAAATAATTTTTATAATACTTTTCATTACAAATTTATTTCACATACATTGTGTATATACAAATATAAAATATAAATTTACCAATTTTAATTCTTTATTTTCTTCTTTCAACTCAGATATTTGTTTCTCCAAAGAAGTTACATATTCTTTTTTCTTCTTTCGCGAGAGGCAAGCAGATTCTCTATTTTTTATCATTCTTTGTTGTCTCTTTAACGCCTTCAATTTATATTCCTGATTATTTTTTGGCGAGCTCACGAGATCGATTGTTTCATTCTGTATAATTATTGAATCGGAGTTTATTCTGTTCCGCATTATTTGAAATGGAGTATACCTCATGGTCTTGTTTGCAACAACGATGTTGTTACACTTCACCGAATCGTTATTTAAAATAGTAGAAGCATCTATTGACTCGGTAGTATTTGTTGGGCAAACGTTTGACACAGTATTGATTATTTTTACGTTTTGCGGTAACGTAAACGAGGCGGTTTCCGCCTTTTTATCTGTCGGGCTGATACACAATGAATTTTGTTTATTCGTCGGTAATATCCGAAGTTTCGTGGGATACAATACACGCTGCGAATTTGCATTCTGTGCGAACGTGGCAATGTCTTGCAAGAAGATAGTATTTTGAGGCTCCTCTGTAGATATTAAAAATATGAATACTTTACATCATACACCAAAAAACTATTTGATTACTGTTTTATGTTAATTGAAAACAATAAGTATGAAATATGTGTCTTTCTTTCTTTTCCTCTAGAAAAACTTGCGTATATACAATACAAATAATACAATATTACGTACACCAAGACCAAGAAAGACCATGTTAATGGTAAAAATGTCATGTAAAAATAACTGCGGTAAGTTTTAATCAAGTTTAAGTGTTACATTGACAAATGTATATTAAGTACCTCACCTGTACTGACTTTGAAAATAATCGAAGTACTATTAAGTTATATACTCAAATGTAGTAGCTTCCAATATAGTAAATATCTCTTGATAATAAGGCGCCCCTAGAAAATTGTGTATTCACATGAAGATAAAAAGTACCTTTAACGTATTTAACATGTTGTGCGATATTTATAGGCTGAATGTGAGCGCGTTTCTTCGTTTCCGCCTTCGCAAGGATATATTTTGGTTTAATGTCTTCCTCGTTCACAGATATGAATTGTACTTGTTGCATTACACTTGACGTACTTGAAGACGATTGAGGCGATAGCGACAACGGCGATACGCATTGCGAAGAGGAAATCAATGGTGTCTCTAAAGGAAACTAAAAGAAAAAAATTCAGTCAAGTGCGACTTGGACGTTTATATCTCTCGTATCGTATCTGTGATTCTACACCGTGGCATATACCTCTGTTTTCACATTTTGTATCGCACAGTTTGACAATTCTTGCGTCGGACATCCCACTTGTCTGTCTGAATCGTTGGTCTCCGAGTGACTGAGGCTACTGGGCGATAGTGGAAACTGTGCAGCTGGGCTTTCAGGTTCAAACTTAATTGTCTCGGCATTTTCCAGCACTGTAAAAGACGTTTAGATGACAACAAACCGATTAAATCTAGATCACACTTTGACACGTACCTGATTTGTCTTTCGCATAATCAAAGTCAAATTCTTTATAATAGTCAAATATGTTTTTCATCCCATCATTCCCTTTATCATAATCCAGGAGCGTCTCCTCTGGCCCGATAGGTATCCCCAATTCAAAGCTCATTGATTGAAAAAGGTCATCAGGAATGAATGAATCGCTCCCTTCTGTAAAGGAAACATTCCAATAATTACTGGATACTTTCGTTGCACAACGATGCAAACTCGGGCGTCGTTTTATTTTACTTTTTGTATGTAATGCTACATCATCGAGAGAGGACAGCGTAGAGTAAACAAGAGAGGATTCTGCTATGTGCAGTTATCTAAACATTAAGCTAAATTATGATATGCTACATCTATAAACATTTTGCACGAAGAATGAATATGTAACGACAGGATTTTAATCTAAGAACAATAATAAATCTTAACCTAAAAATTCTGGAAACTCTGGAAACATTTGTGCCTCTGACGCTGAGCCGTTGCTTCGTTGTTCAAACTCTATACTTGGCATACTTTCACCTAAGAAAGCGTTTTCGACGGTAAATTTGAGCTTTTATATATTAAACCACACTTTCATTGAAAAGGTTCAAACTCGAAATAATAATGATACACCAAGGACAGGGAGAACTTCATTTTTCTCGTACCGGAACAATGTAAACATATATATATATATATAACACGTCATACATACAATAAGTATATATACGTACACAGCCTTCTATATATTATGCGGGGTCTACAATGCGAGTCGCAGAGTCGTAGTCGTAAGAATAATCGACTGCGATTGGTCAATTTCGTTAGACACATAAGAATTGACCAATCGCAGTCGATTATGGTGGAGTCCCATGGAGCGGAATACGCGGAAGCGGAATCAGCGGATCGCCAATCACAAGACCGTTTCGACGGAATTTTTGAAAGGGCTCTATCAGAATGGCCGCGTTCAGCAGACACAACTGTTGAGTGAGCGATCAGTATGATTGGTTAATACTTGTAGATCCAGCCAATCATATTAAGAAATCATTGAGCGCTCACTCAACAGTTGTGTCTGCTGAACGCGGCCAATAATCTTGCGATTGGCGATCCGCTGATTCCGCTTCCGCGTATTCCGCTCCATGGGACTCCACCCTCATTCTTAAAGCCCAATGTCCACGATG